TTTAGGGTTTAGGGGTTTAAAAGGGCTTAGGGCTTTAATTACTAATATAGCCCTAAGGGTCCATGTACCCAAATAGTAGATACTTTGGCCCCAAAGTACCCACATAGGGACTACTTTAAGGCCAAAGTATCTACTATTTGGGTACATGGACCCTTAGGGTTAGGCCTTGAAGAGGAGTTCCTATATAAGCATATATAGGTATAGACTAAATATAGGTACATAGAGCCTCATGAAGTATATACTTAGCCTTAAAGGGGAGTTCCTGTATAGGCATATAATTCGGTATAGACTAGATATAGGTATATGGGAGTTTCAGAAAATATGGGACCCTGATATAGGACCCCAACTAGTAGGAGCCCTATTATAAGGACCCCAAAATAGGGTACCCTAGTTTTCTGACATTCCCACATAGAGCCTTCGGGAAAGCTTGGCAGAGGACTTCATCTGGCACGTGGGTGACATTGGCTACATGGACGACTCCTACGCCCATGCACCAATCAGGTGGTTTAGGGTTTTAGGGTTTAGGGCTTAGGGTTTAAACCGTAAACCCTAAAAGCCGTAGGGTTTAGCTAGTTTTTTGGGGTTTAACAGTCGAGACACTCAGCATGCCTACCTAAGACAATTCAGCGGCCGCAGCACGGTTCACAGGCGCCCTAAAATCCTACAAGGATTGAGGTGATAATGGCGCCTGATTGCTGCAGAATCGCGCAGTTCTTTGTTGCTGTAGTGTTTCAACTGGGTGTTCGCGAGAGGCTGCATTAAGGTTTAGAGTTTGGGGTTTCAGGGCTTATTCGGCACGATGAAGCCAAAGTAAGGTGTACTACATTGCATTTCCGGCAAAAGACAGCACCGCACTATTGAAGTAGTATGAAAGCTTAACTAATTGCAACTATCTTTCCTTTGGGCTCCTTATTATAACCATACCATACAGGAGCCCAAAACCCTATTCTAGATTTTAGGGCCCCTACCGTAAAATCAGTTTCGATCGCACGAAGCTCCAAGCACAAAAATACAACACCGATTCCCGAACCCGACACTGAAACCCCTCAGCCCTTTTCAAAACGGACCGCTGTCGTCCCTGCAAAACGAGCCTTTGAACCCTCGTCCAAAGCCAAAGACCCGGTTCAGGTTTACCTACGAAGAGGCTGGATCACTTCCTGGGGTGGTGTTTTACAGAGCTGGGGACAAAGTGCTAACAAAAGTGTAGGACATTCAGCCATTTTATATGCATATATGCATACATATACAGTAGATCTCAGTAGATGTATACATGTATACGCACGCGCACACACACAAACACGCATGTGTGTATTTACATGTTGCATGTTACAAGTATGAGTATATGTACATGTAGATGTCTTTGTATGTGCATAGTCATGTACATGTAGATTTCCGTGTATGCATATGTGCATGTGCGTATTGACAGAATGTACGTACTTATATGTATGCACGTGTATATACCTGTATGTTTACTTATACACATGCATGCATAATAATCGACATACATACATGCATGGGTACGTACACAGATATGTAGATAATGCCACAGATGTGTGCATGCATTCGTGCATGCATTCGTGCATGCAGGCAATGTACTGTCATGTATTGTCATGTATTGAAATGTATTTAAAGTCTTGTAATGTATTGTAATATATCGTAGCGCAATGTAAATGTCATTATTTACGTATGGCTGTGTGTATATATATATATATATACGCGTATACACACATATCCCAGTGTGCGTGTGTGCGCTTATCTGTGTATGTGTATGCGATGTGTCTGTACAAGCCTTGTACATGTGCATATGGACATGTGCACGTGGATGTTTATGTGCCTGTGAAGGGGTGAATGTGCATGTGCAAGTGCACGTGTATGTGTAAGCATCTTATGTAAAGGTCTATGTTCATGTGTGAGGAAACATTACATACATATTCCTGTCTATGTATGCACCTATATACATATATATATATATACCTCTATGTGCCTACGTGTATATGTATATATGTATATACACACCTTCATATATGTATACGCAATATATTTGCGACCATTACCCTGCGCAGCCCTACAAAATCAGAGGGCAGTGTTTTTTGGTATTACAGCGGTCGCCTTAGGATGTTTTGATGATAGCTGATAGCAGATAGGTATCATATATATATATATATATGTACGTGCAATTACCAGCAGCTATTTTCAACAGCCTCCATATGCACATGTTCATACATATTATACAACACGTATGCATATATACAAACAGAGTGCCAGAGGCACGTACATTCATTGAAAAATATGGCCCAAACCCTATATTGATCACGTTAATTAATCTGCGTCGACCTCCACGATTGCTCCTACGCCAGTCCTACAACGGCTATATGAACTGGCTACAGAACCTCACTTCCACGATGCCCTACATGGTGTCCCCGGGCTCCACGGCTGCAACTTTAGCGTTTACCCTAAACCCTAAACCCTAAACCCTAAACCCCGTTTAGGCTTTGGGGTCTTGGGTGAGAGGCCCGGGGCTCCGAGGGCTTGAAACAGAAACAGGCCCCAAAATCTGAAATGCCAAACCCAAAGGGTTTAGGGTTTAGGGTTTAGGGTTTAGGGTTTAGGGTCCAAAGTACCTATATGGTAGAATGTAGGGTTTCTATATTAGGAATTGTTATTATGATTATGCCAAAAACCCAGAGGGTCCATATACACTACTATTATGGAATTAGGTCCCAAAAGACCATCCTTATTATGGTTTTGGGGACCTAATTCCATAATAGTAGTATATATGGACCCTCTGGGAAACAAGGCATATACTAGGAATCAATAATTACCTATATGGTAGAATGTAGGGTTTCTATATTAGGAATTGTTATTATGATTTGGGAAAGTATTCCCCATAACAGTACCTAGGACCCTTTGGGAAAAACAAGGCATGAAGCTCCACGCGTGGACCCTCAGCCAGGAGGTTTGGATTCTACCCGGCATCCCATTTTTGTTCTGTGAGATCCTAAGATCCCGCACTCAAGCGCTGCTGTCATCGTCGTAGATGGTGCAAGTGCTCGTGCTCGGGGGTTGGCAGATTTGCTGCTCCAGGCAACCATCCTGGAGAACATGATAGCTCTAATTACCCAAAGGCTCCATGTACCTTTATAGTAGATACTTGTGCCTTAAAGGGGTCCCTAAAAAGGTACTTTAAGGCATAAGTATCTACTATATGGGTACATGGAGCCTTAGGGTTAGGAAAAGGGCCGCTTCATGTTATCGCAAGCCCTGTAGGAACCTTCAAAGAACCCTTCAAGGGTCTAGGGTTTAGGGTTTAGGGGTTTAGGGTTTAGGGTTTAGGGACCCTATTCTAATGAACGAGGCCCCGAAATGCCCTATATTGTATTTGGGTAGTTCTTTAAATGAGGGTCCCTGTTAGGGTCCTTTTTTTGAGATGAAGGTGCCGTACTATTCTGGGAACCTTTAACAGGGACGCTAATTTAGAGAACTATTCATATATAGCCCTTATAGTACCCTTTGGAAACCCCATAGAAACCCTTTGTAGATCCCTTTAAGGAACCCCCAAGAAGGGACCCTAATTTACAGAACTAATGTAGGTGCCGATATAATTACCAATACTATATTGGGGGTTCCTCATCATGATTCATCACAGTTCTGGTATGCTGGACCCCAAAACCCTATTCTAATTATGAAGGCCCCTACATTACCGACTGTGCTATAAATCCTAAACCCTAAACACTAAACCCTAAGCATGGGACCCTCATTGAAAGAACTACCTGGGTAGTTTTCAAAATTAGGGTCCCTTTTGGGGTCCTTTTCATAAGGGTGCCGTACTACATTGGGGACCGAGAAGAAGGGACCTGCATTGAAAGAACTGCCTGGGTAGTTCTCTAAATTAGGTCCCTTTTTGGGTCCCCAATATAGTACGGCACCCTTATAAAAAGGATCCTAAGCAGGGGACCCGAATTTAGAGAACTGCCCACCTGGTTTGCTATACAGTACATCGAGAGTCTCGGACCTGGGTGGGTTTCGGTGTCGCCTTCGAAGTTCGAGCAGTTAAGAAATCAATGCGGTTCAGGGTCTAATTTTCCGGTTTTTTGGTTCAGGATTGCCGGGTTTGGGGTTCATGATTACCGGGTTTAGTTTTTAGGGTTTCGAGTTTATTTAGCTATGCTCTCAATCTCTCAACTCGCAGTTAAGCCCCAACCCGAAACCCTTCATTATCTAAAAGCAAAAACATGGCAAACGTAAAACTCTAGACTTAGAGCCACAGCCCAAATGCCAAGCCCTAAATGTTGCAGGGTTCAAGATTTTCGGGGTGTAGGTTTTAGGGTATGTACCCGAAAATTCTGCGAAGGTATACCTATAGCACAGACGCTAGGAAAGCTTGCCAAGCGTGCTAGGCGCCCTGGGAGATCAAACGTAAAGGAATCTACAAAATGGGGGTTTCCGAAAATTAGGATACCTTATTTGGGGGTCCTTATAATAAGGATCCTATTATTTAGGGTACTATATTAGGGTCCCCTATTTTCGGAAACCCCCAGATGGAGGTCGAAAGTGTTGCGGTGTAGGAGTCGCCTGCTTGTAAAAGGTGGCTGGCAGCCGCATAAAAAATCAGCAAATGTATCTACACTCATTTGGGAGTTTCCGAAAATGAGGAGTGCATGTTTTTGGCGTCCTTCTAATAAGGATCCTACTATTTAGGGCACTATATTAGGGTCCCCTATTTTCGGAAACCCCCATTTGTGTATTGTTCACATGGTTAGTCTTTTCAGTAGGAAGGCATATGCCTACATCTACCCATGCACGGGCAAACATGCATGCAGTGATACGTACTGTACATACAACGGGCATGCCTGCTTGTGTTGTTTTTTATTTTTGGAGTCCTATCGCGCATAGTGTTATTTTGATGTATGTCGATATGCACCCAGGCATCAACATCCCCTAAACCCTAAACCGCGCGAGCCAAGAGCCCACAGGCCAGCTACAGCCCAAAACACCCGGAGGCTCGAAAGCCGAGGGTATCGTCTACGCGGTGATGCACGCGCTGCCTGCAGAGAAGCTTGCCAAGCTGGACGACGGGCAGTTGATTGCACCCTGGCCGCATCCCCAAAAACCTAAACCCCAAAACCCTAAACCCCTAAACCCCTAAACCCCTAAACCCCAACACCCCAAAACCCCAAAACCCAAAACCCAAAACCCCAAAAAGTTTGCCAATATTGTTCTGAGGGCTCCGAATTACACTTATGGCATAATATGCCCAAAACACGAATGATTCTCACTATTAAGAGCCCTACATTTCCTTGGCTGCCCATAAATCTCGTAGTCTCTAGAACTAGCCTGTTGTAACTTTCGTCAGCATGGCTCCACCAGACTAATCAGGGGTTGGCATAGGGGCCTTGATGGTTGATGGTTCAACTAGGTTTTTGGGGTGATCGCAAGAAAACATTCATATTGGGACTCGGTACTTTAAAGGGATGCTATCGTAATAACTATTCCAACCCTTATATTAAGCAGTTTCTGTTGATTTTAGGTCTTTTGCTTCAGTAGGGCTTTGGGTTCAGGCTATTTAAAAGGTAGAGGACTTCGGGTCTACGGCACTCCAGAGACAGCGCTCCGCATGCTTACAGTTCCCATAGGCACTGGGTTTAGGGCGCAGGGTTTAGGACTATTACCCCCCCCCCCCCTGATGGACACCCCAAATGCCCACCCGACAGTTTGCGCAGAAGCCTGAGTCATTAGTAATCGCATCCCCTTCATCGTCACAATATTACATACCCCAGGGCCTGTTCTGACGATCAAGGCCCCTGCATTAGACTTGAAAGATGCTGGGGGCACGTGGAGTCAGGGTTGGAGTCGTTTGGATCACCATGTCAAGTCTTGCAAAGCATTGGGCTTAGGAGATTTAAAGCCTAATCGGCCATAAACAGACCTATGCAGGACCAATCCAGCCCGTTCGAATTCTGAAGGCCCCTATGTTACATCGACAGCTTGAGCCCTAAACCGTGGGAAGCAGTGAACTCAGGTAGAGAACTGCCTACCATGGGGTGGTGAGGTGCCTTCAGTGGTAAAGGGGTTTAGGGCTTTAGGGTTGCTCCCAAAACCTAGAACCTAAACTCTAAACCCTAAACCCTAAATTCTAGACCCTAAACCCTAATCTCTAAACTCTCAATAGACCCTAAACCCTAGTTGTGTAAACCGTTCAAGGTTCAGGGTGTGCGAGCTTCAGGTTTCCAGCTTAGGGGTTTCAGAGTTTAGGTTTTAAGGGCTTTAGGGTTTCGGGTTCAGGGTTTAGGGTTTGGGGTTTAGGGTTTAGGGGTTTAGGGTTTAGGGTTCAGGGGTTGGGTTGGGCTTCGGACTTTCGCTATACATGGATGTGTTGAGATAATCGTGGTTTTGGCAGGGGTCCAGGGAGTTTGGGATTTAGGATGTAAGGTGAGGTCATCGCATTGCATTCCAGGCCCTAAACCAAGCCCCAAACCCGAAACCCGCAACCCCCAACGCCAACATTAAGCCCGAAACCCGAAACCCCAAGCCCTAAACCACAAGAGAAATGAGCTCCCACAGCTAGCAAGTCGAAGGGCCCATGAGCCGCGTACCTGGTCTGAGTTTGTAGGGTTCCTGTGCGGGCCCTTTGATTCCAGGGTTCTACAGGGGTACCAATCAGTAACTCAGTAGGGTTCTGTCATGAGTATGTCGTCATTATTTCTGTAGTGCTCCCTAGTAATATGCATCTATTTATATATCTATCTATCTATCTATCTATCTATCTAGCTATCTATCTATCTATCTATCTATCTATATATATCTAACTAACTATCACTATGCTGTAATGTACACCAAAACTCAATTCCATCAAACCTCTATGGCAGGTAAGTGTTTAAGACTTGTGTAGTGTTATGGCGACTATGTAGTCCCAACCTGTTGCACCTTTAAAACCGGGCCAATAAGAGATGTTCCCTACGGCCACTTGGGAATTTTGGGCAATATCGAACTCCTGAAGTTCCTAGGCCAGGACCCTACACCCCGAACTCTAAACCCTAAGCCCTANNCCCTAAACCCTAAACCCCAAAACAAGTCCTTGCCGGAATGCTGAGGCAACTCTATCCCTCTAGTCAGCACAGGTTTTTGCTATCATGCAGCCCAGATAGGTGTCCTTATAATCGTTCCCCTAGCATTAAACGCGGGGGGGGGGGGGGGGGGGG